TGTGGTGTGCCTTCAGGAAACTCGTATAGGTCGCAACAATTTTCGGAATGCCTCCAAGTCGGCGTGTGCTGCTGGTAAGAACCTGATCCTTGGGGACCTGCTTCCGGGTTTGTTTAGGTCTGATGGTAGCGGCTCTACCTCCCATGGTGGTGTTGCCATGCTTGCACCTAGTACTATCTCCTCCCCTTTTGAGGAGAGTCAGGACACTACAGGGCTTTTCAAAGGCCTCTTTCATTCTAAGCGGGTACAAGCTGTTTGGCACCAAGTTCAGCCCTCGTTGAAGATCTTGATCTTTAACATCTACGCTAAGTCTGGTGCTTCTGCTGATCATGATATCCTGCACTTCAATGATCGTCTTCTTGGTGACGTTTTCCAGGTTGCAGCCCAATTTGGCAATATCCCGGTTTTGGTGGTTGGCGATTTCCAGCTCCCACCCCTCCAATATCCGTCAGTCGCTGCTGCCACGCATTTTGCTAATTGGTTTGATCCACTTTCTACCCACCTTGAAGACGGTTCCCTCGATAGGCCGATTACATATAGTCGCGATTGCACCTTCACTGCCTTTGGTGAGCATTGTTCCTCTATCGATGGGATGCTTTTGAACCAAGTTGCGTTCTCTTGTCTGACGGACATTTGCACGGTCGACTGGTTCTCCAAGCAACATCGTCCGGTTCGTGCGACCTTTCATTGGGATGTCATTTTTCATGTTGGGCCTGTTCACGTTAAGTTCGCCCAACTTGATATTTCCCAAGTTGATAAACCGTCCTGCCCCAAAGATTACCAGCCCTCCCTGCAGTGTTGGGATGCGAACCTTGAAGCTAACTTCATCAATTCCACTCCGGAAGAGCTTTGGTGTGACATCAACCAATTTGCTGTGACTACACTTCTTGAGTCTGGTGCGACTTGGAAACCCGGTATTCACAAACGCGCTGTTGCTCCTGTTTTTAGATCCAAGCAATACTGCCCAGGGCAACAAAATTCAGGATCGGCTACTACTCTGCGCCTTTCCTGGCTTTATAATGCTCGCGCCAAGGTTTTTGACATCCAAGCTAAGGTTGCCAAGAGTAGGCTTTCAGATCAAGAGTGTGATATTCTGCATAATGCTCTTGCCAAGTTGACTAGACTCTTGCGGAACCTCAAAGCCCCCTTTGACTTTCGAGGCTCTCGCTGCCCTCACTTGTTGACTTTGCATGAGTGCCACCTTTGGCTTCAAGTTGAGATCGCACAAACAGAGAGCAATTTGAAGTCAGCCGGAATCCGTGCATGGCGGGAGAAAATTCAGCACTCAGCCACTTCTGACCGTGCCTACCTTTTCCATCACCTCAAGAATAAGGCGCAAGATCAACCCAACAACCTTGTTTTTGATGATTGTGGGCATATCATTTACCAGCCTGATAAAGCCCTCAATGCTATCAACAATCAATGGGATGACATTTTTGCTTCTAATATTGGTCACGAAGACCCAGTTGAAGTCTTGCGGGTCCTTTGGCCGTACCTCTCGCGTGAGAATAAGCCATGGACTCCGCCAGCCCTCACAGGGGCCGATATCTTTGAGACCCTTCAGAGGCGCCACCCCAATGCAGCGCCTGGGCTTGATGGATGGCGGACCACTGAACTGCAACGATTCCCTCTTGCTCTGTGTGATTTGATTGCTGCCTTCTTTCGCCGCCTCGAACAGCAGGTTGACCATTCGCTCCCAAGAGCCTTGACTGAGGCCAAGTTAGTTATTCTCAATAAGCCAGGGCCATCCTCCCCCCTGAACAAGCGGCTGATTACTATCTTGCCGCCTCTTTTACTAGCATACACGGGAGCTCGCTTTCGTCAAGCCAAGGAGTGGCAAGCAACTATCATGCCGCCTTCTATTGTGGGTGGCATAGCGGGCCGGCATATGACTGATATTCCCGCCACCCTGAGACTTGATCTTGATGAAGCTGAGATGCAAAGTGAAACGGTTGCTGGTCTTAAACTTGATAAAAGTAAGTGTTTTGATCGTATTGTCCCTGCTTTCGTTGCCATCATTTTGCTTGCCATTGGTTGTCCTCAGCATGTGGTCAGCATTTTTGTTCGCCAATATGCAGGGCTGCGCAAACACTTGTCTTATAGAGGTTGGACGGCCTCCATTCCTACCACTTCACCAAATGGGGTTGCACAGGGTTGCTCCTTTTCGCTGATTGCTATTAATGCCTACATGCTCTCGTGGGTTGCTTTCTTGAAGGACATCCCCCATTTGTCATGTCGCATTTACATTGATGACATTTATTTGTGGGCAAAAATCCAACATGTCGCCAACCTTCAAACGGCACTTGAAGTCACCAAGCTTTGGGATGCCCTTGTTGGTCAAAAACTCAATGCTGGTAAATCGGTTGCTTGGGCTTCGAATTCGACGGGTCGGAAATGCATTCGTTTGTCTTTCCCTGATTTTATGCTTCAGGAAACTATTGATGTGCTTGGTTCTAAAATCTATACTTCGCAGCGCATCGCTTTTGACTTTCCTGAGGAGAAGACCCATAAAATCGTCCTTGACATTCGTAACATTGGGGCCCTCCCGTTACCTCGCAAAATCAAGGCACAACTCCTTGGAGCTAAAGTCATTCCTCAATGCAGCTTTGCCTCACACTTGTCTAAGGTCCCTAAAGCTGCCCTTGACAAAATTCAAGCTGAAATCACCCAAGTCTTGTGGGGCAATCGACCTCACTGGAGGGCTAAACACTTGGTCCTTGGCTTTCTTGCACCGCCACACCGTGTTGATCCATACTTGGCTAGGGCCTTCTGTGCCATTGTTGATTTTCTGCGCTTTGTCCACCACAATCCCGACGTTATAGCTAGATGCCCACCAGCCTAACTCGGGCAGGTTCTCCCTCCTTGTAGGCATTCGCCAGGCATGCCATGCATTTGGTATCACCATTGATGATCAGCTTCATTTGCACCTCTTTGGTCACCTTGATCTTAACTTACAAGATCTTTCAGTTCGTGACATTGTGCCGTTGTTGAAACAGCTTGCAGTTCAGGCACACTATGTTCACTCAGCCAGCCTTAATCGTAAGGATTTTGCCAAACCGGATGGATTTGTAGATCTTTTTCACTCCAAGCTCTTTGGGACCCAGAAAGGAGTTCGCGATTCGGTTTCACCCCCGTTGCTTGCTCACTTTGAAGCACAACTTGTTGGGTGTACGATCACCAACGATCGTAGATTTGCTGCCAAGTTTTCGGATTCCCCGCTGTGCCGTTTTTGTGAAACTGAAAAAGAATCACTTGTGCACATTTTGCAATGTCCTCAAGCAAGGCTGCACTTTCCTCCAGGTCCGGGTCATGAGTTTGGGCCGAATTTTCGACTACTTGGCATTGTGGAACACCCTCTTGCTATCATCCGACATCGGCTCCATGTTGACCGTGCTGATGCACTCCCAGTTCAGATCTTTCAAAGACCTGATGATTTGCAATCCCTGTGGTCTGATGGCTCCGTGCTTTGGGGTGAGGTCTTCCCACTTACGGCAGCAGGTTATGCCATCATTGACGAGGAGGGGAAGGTGTTTCATGCTGGAACAGTTTCTCACCTGTGCCTTTCTTCCTATACTGCAGAATTGTGGGCAGTCATAGTTGCTACCTTGAAGTCCGACTGCAAACTTCATATTTACAGCGACTGCAAGGAAGTTGTTTGTCAAGTTAACCATATGGTTCAAACTGGCAATATTCCCACGAACTGCCTGCACATTGAATGGTGGAAGGTGTTGCACAAAGTCATAGTTGCCAGGAGTCTGCTGACTAGTGGACCTGTTTTGCTCTTGACGTGGATTCCTTCGCATATTGGTGATGATCTACCTGTTTCAGCGATACCTGCTGTTGTGATCCGTGCAGCAGGCACAACACGAAAGCACATCGAACTGAATCGGCTTGCAGATACAGTTGCCAAGAGGTTTGCCCACTCCCGGTGTACTATTGCGGCTGAAGATAAGGGTATGTTTCAAGCAGCAATACTTCAGAAGCAACGCACCCTTACGGACTTGAACCGCTTTATTGGCTTTGAGTGTTCTGATACATTTACAGACACGCCCATGCGACAAAGTGCCGTCTCGGAGATTGACTTCCACACCATCTACCCGGGTCTTGCGTGGAACCACAATGAAGCTGATTTTTCTTTTTCATGGAAGCCGGAGGATTCAAGCTGCCCTCCCAAGCTAGATCTCTCTGCTTCTGATTGGCAAGTCTTTGTCAATTTTGGAAAGACGCTTAAGTGGTTTCTCGCTGACCATGTGATGTGCACTTATCAGGAATTGGCCTTTCTGTTTGTCATCCGAGGACATCATTTTAGATGCCGTGAAGCACACTTTCAAGAACTTGTCCTTAAGTTGCGTAGATGCTGTGTTGTGCTCTCAAAGACGCACAATGCACTTCCTGGGACACCAACAGCCAGGGCAACGAAATGCATTGGCAAAGTGTTGCCTCAGGGTGCACTTGTTGGTGCTCTCCCTTTTTTCGCCCCTGGCGAACTTTTCAAATTCTGCCGTGTGTTGGCCGGTGGGGCCGGCCGCTCGGCTGATTCTTGGTCGTTCCCTGTCGAACGTTTTCTGTAGCTCACCTTAATTTGGCTCCGTTGTGCATTCACTGATCTGTGAGTCGTGGATGCGACTTTCCTACTCGACCGGATTGTCTGCGTGTGAACAGAATGGACTACTAAGGAGGTCAACCTAGCAGGGTGCACAGGGCTCTGGGTGCCATGAACCACTGCCATTTCGGACTTGAGATCTCAGGCCAATCCCGCCACAACAACAACAACTACTGCTACTGCTACTGCTACTGCTACTGCTACTGCTACTACTACTACTACTACTACTACTACTACTACTACTACTACTACTACACCTACTACACCTACTACTACACCAACAACAACAACAAACTGTGACAAAAACACCCGTTGCAGTAGCAAAGGATGGGTTTCAACACACCGGTCTTTTCTCCTGGGCTGGGAACTTCCGGGCTGAAATTCAGCTCCAAGGAACACCCAAATTCCAATCTTCGTTTCGCGGCCTTCTCAAGCCTCAGGCGCTGGGCGCAATTTCGATGGCGCTCCTGCAATTTCCACCTCTTCTCCTCAACCCTCACCGAGAATTTGAATGACTCTTTCGTGTTTTTATATGTTTTTATAACATCTCATTGTTCATGTCGTTTCACTCTTAAAGTTTTTCTTTTTGTAAGTTGATATGTGTTTTCCCTTTCCTGATCTTCGCTAGTCCTTCTTTTCTTTCCCTCCCCTTCCGCTCCACAAAATGTGTGCAACAACTCCTCCCGATCTCAACTTCTCCCAACTCCTCCCTACTCCTCCCACCTGTGCCACTCTCATCCCGAGGGGCTCGGCGCCTCCAGGAGACCCTTGAGGCGCTTCCGCAGGGCGCCCAAGGTCATCTGCCGCTCGCTCAGAGACACCCAGCCATTCCACATCTCGTTGAAGACATTGGACGGCTCCGCCATCCTGGCGCCACAGGCGGTGCACTGTGGCCCTTGAGAAAGGCGGGATGCGATGGAATGGCGGTGCAGTGAGGACGGCCGACGGCGCCCAGGTGGATTCTCCATAGACTCAAGAGGAGCCTCACAAGTGTAGGTTAGGAGGAGGACACACATGAAAACAATTCAATCAACATCTTTGTGAAGCTTGGCAAACATGCCGCATGCCCCTCAACGAGAACAACAAAACACATCCTCTTTGATCGGTGGCAAATCAGTCTCCTTCTCCTGTTTGCCTATACCTCTGTGTCTACTCATGTCGCAACACACACACACACACACACTCCCTGCCCCTTTCTGCCTCGCAGCGATGGCGCGTTGGAAGCTCTCATCGACCAAGTCGGTAAGCTTCTGCATATCCTCCTCCTCTGGCACCACCAGTTCCAGCTCCTCGTCACCTCTTCGCAAAATAAACATGTTTGGTGGGAAGTAGAAGAGAGACCCCAGTTCGACCCCTGAGAATAGCAAATCATGGACGAACACTCATTGCCTATTCTGACCAATACCCCTTTGTTCGCTTCGTGCAACGGACGAATTCAAACGGTCCACCTTGGAAAGTCAGGTACGGTATGCCCATGAGGAGGGGGGTCGACAAACACTGCTGTCATCCTGCTGTCATCGCGGTTACGGCAACGCAGCATAGCGCAAAACACTCCAGCTGTCTTTCACCCCAGTGCGTGCCAGCTCATCCATGTAGGATCCTTTTACATTTGCTACTTGAACAAAAAGTGAGAGTCAAACGAAGAATGTCGAGGCACCAATGCACGCAGCTGCAGCACTCAGCACCTGCAGGGTGCTGGGTGTGGTTGCGGTTTCCTTGATGATCTCATCATATGATCTCTAAGACTCTCAAGTCGGACAGTCCACCTTTTTAAACCATGCTTTGACGAGATCATTGGTGTTTCTCAAAAGCAACATCGATTCCCCGATTCAAAGGGTCTTATAGTGCGACTTGCGAATCTGTCCAAGCCACAGCCCATGCTAAGCAGTGGAAAGGGTCTTCTTATTATTCTGATGATGTTGGCGCTCCGAGTCGTTGGAGCTCGGGCCCAACACTGGAGCTTAGCGGTCCCAAGGGTCCCAAGAGGAGGGGCTGTTGGGGTGCCTTTTTGGGGGTGCGTTTTCTGGTGCACTTGGATCTTTGCACCTCGGGGCTGAGAACTTCTGCCCCTGCGACAGTGTCCCACGGCAGGGCGGAGACGCAGGAGCGAGACGCAGCAGTCCAGCAGGGCGCCTGAGGTGGCATGACTAGAGAGAGGACTACTAGGGTGAGATTGGGAACGAGAGATGCTTGGATCAGATCATGTTGGATCCCGCAAAAACACCCCGTGATTCGTTTTTTGTGATATAAAAGATATCAACACAATATACTACTCTAACAGCCCTCCAAAGGAGGTCTCACTTGGTGACCTGTTGGAGGGTGCTGTTATACGTACAATCTATAATCTCTGATTAATGGCCAGTGTGGAATGGCGTGGGTGGACAGCCTGGTTGATACATTCTCTTGGTGTCTGCTGCAATGATCAGGGATGTATCATAGGTTTCGACATTTAAGAAAAGAATGCAAGACCTCCGGTCAGTCTATACCCGGCCCCTGCGAAGAGGCCGGGTCCAAGGATTCTTAGGGTAAAGGTTCTTCATCTGTCGCTGCATAGAGCCAGGGCACCACCATTCGGGTAGGGCATGAAGGGAGAGAAGAGCCTGGTCTGCCACACGTGCTCGGCTCCCTTGTTCCTTGGCTCCCTTTCCAACACAATTCCTTGTCCATTTGATGGCTATATATTGCTTGGCTGACCGTAGAAAGAAGGTGTAAATAGGAAACCAAGGTGAAGTACACCAATGGAACACAAAGTGGCGGATAGCGGACTCACCAAGGACCTGCTGGACGCTTATCCCAGCATCCCAGCTGGCTCCAACGCTCCCTTCACGGGCCGGGACTTGAGACCCCCAAACGCCTCCATTGGATGAAAACCACATGCTGAGATCGTGGCTTTTTAAAACCCATCCGAAACCAGCCACGTGCGAAACCACATGCTGGTAAGCGCATGTTGTACGATTGTGATCCGTATTGTCCTCGACCCAGTTCCGCAAGACCAGCGGTGGTTTGGAAAACCAACAAGACTGTGGCAAGACGGACCGAAGACAAAACAAATGGTTTTCAAGTTTTAAACAACGGTGAGAAACCATCGTGTCGGTCAGAGCAGAAGAAGACATTCCAAAATTCACAGGCCGATTGCTTTCAGGGCAGAATTTCTGTGTTCTGAACGCTTCTTCTTCATTGAGTCCTCTTCTCTGCATGCAATTCACATGGGTATGCAGCATGTGTCATCTTGTTTCCTCTCCGGCCTGCAGTAAACAGCTTCGTTGACCACAGCCAATGCCACGCGCCCGCGCAGATCATACACACGACATGCACAGATCGTAAGCGGCGCGCCATGGAGCTACGCATCCAGGTGGGTGACGATTCAGGCGCTACGCATCACAATACCCAAACCATCCATTAGTTCATTAGTTTATGAATAATAGTTATATTAACAATGGATGGGTCACTAGTAAAATGGGAGTCCATGTATGTCCATGTATGTCAAACTATTCCATGCTTGGATTTGCCTAAGGAACCATGAAGGGAACATATACATATATATATAGATCGCATCGCCTTGGACTTCGGCACAGTTACTCCAAGTCTGCACCATGATGCCGTCCGTCCAATGTAACAAGGCTTCTTAGAGACAAGGCTTTGTGTCAAGGTCTCTCTTGACGCATGACAAGGCTTCAAAAGAGACT